TTCAACACAAAACAGATCACCTTCTAATGTATTAAATCTAACAATTGTACTTATTTCCTTTTTATTATTTTTATTATTCCCGTTGATAATATGGTCTTAACAACAACAACTATCTACTTAAGTTAGACTATAAGACGTATTCGCTACTAGTTCATTTTGAAACAAATTAAGAAAATCCTTATACAAGGATCATTTATTTTTAATATAACTGCATGATAATTGAGAGAAAATAAAAAGTTGAAAAATTTAAGAAATTAAGTACTAAAAATAGAATTGTAATTTTGATTTTGTTAGAAAAAAAAAATATTAAGATTTTTATGTTAAAAATTACGGCCCAGTTTTATTATTGTTTAAACAGCTATTATAATGTAATTATCATTGAAATAGTCAGCATTATTAATATATATATATATAAATAAACACCACTAAGAGCTCTACCCCTAAGAAAACATTTTTATTTTATTAAAAATAAATAAACCAAACCATACAAGGATTAAATTAAAGATAATGTAATGTACTTTATTATGAAAAAAAAAATTTCGGACTTTATTTTGCCTTTACGGTGAAAATAATTATCGAATGCTATTGTGTGCTAATTCTCTATTTTATATTTTACATTTTTAACTTTAAATGTTACAAATTAGTGAAAAGTGTATGGATCAATACAATCTTTTTATGAGAAATTATATTTATATCCCTATTTCATTCAACATACTTTTCTTTATAATAACACCATTTCCCTTTATATATTCATTCATATATTACACTTATAAATCATAAAACATGTAATCAGGATATAAATAAGGAAATTGGAGATCATATTGCTTTTGGAATAATCCACCAATTTTTTAAATTAAACACTATCTAAAGATTTGCATCGAAGCGTTTTTTTTTTTATAGTCATGTTAATCACTGTCAGATATCATAATACTTGATCCAACTATGTCACCTCAACACTGTGCCGCGACCCCCCTGTGCTGGGTTTTTAACTTTATAATGCTATAACTTATTGAAAAGTGTATAGATCAATACAATTTTTTTATGAAAAATAATATTTATATACTTCTTTCATTCGACAAAGTTTTTATTTAAATTGGACCATTTCCTTTAATACAGGGGTGTTCAAACCTAAAAAATGCATATAGAAAATAGAACTTTTTCAACTTAATTTTTGAAAGTTTTCCCGAAATACTGACACTTTTATATATATATATAAATAAAGCTTATGTAAGATACTACTATTATGGAAAAAAAAATTCGGACTTTATTTTGTCTTTACGGTGAAAACAGACATCAAAATTAATAAAAAAATAAAATTATTGTAAAAAAATTATTTTTAATATTTTTAATGTTATAATGCTACAACTTTTTGAAAAATAAATGGATCATTAAAATTTTTTTATGATAAATACTATTTATATACCTTTTTTATTCGACATACTTTTTTTTTAAATAATACCATTTCCCTTTATATATTATAAATATACATTTATTTATATGTTA